CTTCCACGCTCGGCAAATCGTTCTCGCGGACTGACGCCGGTTTTCTCCGTGCACGGTCCTAAGTAAGTCGGTGAAACTCGAGAGCAGTCTTCTACTAAAACGTTCGCCTGGGGAAGCTCTCCTGCTACACGACTGGCCACGGGCCATCGCCGGATCGTACGAGATGAATTTCATAGCAACGATCGGCAACGTCGCCTGAACCAGTCGAATTGTGTATGGGCCATCACTCGAGATTAATCGTTTCGTTCCTGACAGACCACACGTTAATCGTGTATGTATGGAAGTAGAATTTAAACAATTCTGGAGAAGGTTATGTTGTCTAAGGTTAAAGCATATGGATTATTAGTCGAGATTTATCGTTTGTTTCCCAAAAGGTAAAACGTTAATCGTGCATTTTAGAATTAGAATTTAAACATTTTTAGGGACTATGTTATCCGAGGTTAAGGTACATGAACTATCGATCGAAATTAATCGTTTAGTTTTTGTAAGATTAAGCTTAAGGAAGCTTAAAAATGCTTTTCAGTGCTATCTGTGAATCAAGAAAAATAAGTCTTGTACTAAGAAATTTTTAAAAATACAGTTAATCAGTTTACCTTTTTGTGGATGTGATTTCATGAGGATTTTGAACCGATGCTTGTCAAAGAGGATTATGGATTATGATCAAATAGATGTAGTTTAGTTTTAACAAAAATCTATTTTTAATAAACTATGGTTACTGCATTATATTACTAAAACAGTTATTAGATTCTCATCTGTAGATTACCTGTTTTGATTAAACATACTACACTTACTATACTTACACTTAAAATTGAATCAGGAAACTGAACATTTTCTGCTCATAATCGCAGTTACGTGTATATGGAATGCTTTCTACGAAACACTACACTCTGACGTTTAGGCTTATTTACTATCTGTTGCTCAAAGGATGACTCTAGAGGCAGCACAAGAGCAAGAGTAGTACGCTTGCTTAATTTTCCCCTAAAACCAGTTGACCTTAACACATAGTGATCAATAATGAAAATACACATGTTTTATGTTTTATGATTGTGTTAATGAATATTTTGAGTAACGCATAATTTTTATCGCTAAAATCCTAACATTTACCCAATTGATGTGATAAAAGTCCAAAGTGGAAACATTTATAAATTTTTTTAGATTTTTTTTACTTTACCATGATAAATCTTCAGGTTTTTACAGTAATATA